GCTGCCCCGAGCCACTGAGCTCAGGCTCAGGGCACCGCTGTCCCTTGCTCTTTTGAAGCTGCCCTGAGTCCTTTCGACCTCCCTCTTGCCTCGGAGCCTGGGAATCTGCCCTGAAACAGTGTTTTATCCCTCTACCCCCAGCTCTGTGGCTACTGGTGTTTCATTCCTGTTAATCAATATTTAAACAACAAAATAATTAACTTAAGACTGGTTGTATCAAGCCGTTAGAAGGTTTGGACTTTTCCTGCAGGCTTACAGCAGCTTGGAGGACCATAAACGTAAAGACTGCCCTTAAAGATAGGTTTAATCTTAGTTTAGTATGTCTTCAAAGCACTGCATGCGCATATAAACATCGGGCTTATTGTTCACTAGAAGCCAGGCAGCAGGCAAAGACATCCCCCAAAGGAATATTACTTGCCATAAGATAAGTATCGTTACTGCTGCTCAGCGTTCACTTCAAAGTGGGCAATATCCTATTTCCATCTTCTTTCACATCCACTCTTAATTCTTTCACTGTTGGGATGCCAGTTGTGCGAGGTGCACGGTTTCTCAGCGTCTGTTCTTGCGTAAAAGCAGCCAGAAATGCCGATGACGAGAGGAGGCTGGACAAGGACTGGGGGAGAGTTTCACTCTCCATAAGGTTTGTTGCAGGACAAGGCAAGGCAGGTTTCAGGAAGGCAGGGGGAGACTGTCAGCTCCTTTTGCTTTTGTTCAAAGCATGATGTGATTTAGTTAGGGTATTTTCCTGCACAGGGAATGAAAGAATTAGGAAGACTCTGTTGACTTTGTTGTCTTTGGATCGCTGAAGTCACCAATTAAGTGATGCAGAGCAGAGAAGGCAACTGGTTTGCTACAATGACAAAATTAGCCCAGGTATAAAATTTTATGGTGGTGGGGGCTCCTGGTTTGGATCAGGAAACTCAGACCTGCTTTCCCAAGCAGTCCTAGCAGGGCCTCCCCAGGGCTGTGTTTGCCCAGCAGTCACACGTGTGGCAGTGGCCCCCGCAGCCTCCCTGGTGTAGCAGTTGCTAAGAAACATGGGGATTGGATCCCGCCGGAGGTGGAGGTGGTGTCGGTGCCCGTCCCTGGCTGACCTGCTCTCGGCAGGGGACATCTCCCAGCGCAGAGCCCTGCCCGGGCACCTGGGCATGAGGTGTCAGTGGCAGAGGGAGTTCAGAGCACTGGGGGAAAAAACCCCAACCCCACACATTAAAACCCTGGCTCAGAGCCATCTCTGGCTCCGGGCTGCTGCTGTGAGTAGATTGCGTGGCCGAGCTTCGTTGCCAGACTGCCTGATGAAGGGCACGTGTGCCCGTGAGGGGCTGTGTGTGGCGGGCGCAGGGGGAGCTGCTGCCTCTACAGCCCTGCTCAGCATGATGTGCAGTCACCCTGTGGGTGACTCTGGGGTTCAGGGGTTCAGAAGTGACCCACCACCTCCCCTCTGCACCGCTAGTAGCAACTTGTTGCTAATGTAAATGTTCCGTGAGTGCATGTTCCTCGGGGCTCCCTGCTGCACTCCCGTGCTTTTTAGGGCACGGCAGGGTGAAGGCAACGCTGTCGTTGCAAGGAAGGAGAGGCTGGAAGAGTGAACCACGCACCTTAGTGACACGGAGGGTTTTCCCAGAGGAAGGAGAAAGCGAGACTTGGGAAATAAGTGACTGCTGCTTCATGTGGCAAGTCACGGCCAGGGAGTTTCTGATCTGCCTAAAGTTTTAATTGTGCTCCTGATGTGTTAGCAGACGTGCCCAGGATTTTTGCTGCTGTTTACAGCACAGCTGTCAACTGCATCTTGACACGACAGCAGCAGTGTCTGACCGGCTGTGTTCTTTCCAGAGCTTTTCCTTTTCCTCGCTTGCTGTTTCGTGGTGTCGTCTCACTTGTTCTCATTTCTCAGTGCTGACGATGTGAATCCCCCCCTCCCTTGCCCACCCTCTCATTGCAGAATCCAGAGGAGCCATCGGAGGATCGTGCTCACGGGGAGATGATTCCTCATGAAGTCACTGGATCCCTTGCAGAAATCAAATGTGACTTTCCGTTTATCAGACTGAAATCAGAGCCAGCCAGACAGTGAAGCAAGCACAGTGGAGGGGGGACGGCGAAAGATGAAATCCAACCAAGAGCGGAGCAATGAATGCCTGCCACCTAAGAAGCGAGAAATCCCTGCCACAAGCCTGCCGTCAGAGGTGAAGCCGGTCCTGCCAAACGAAAACCACCGTGCGGATAACCTAGCATGGCTCCCCAGCACACCCAGTGGCCAGGGCAGCCTCGGGGGCCGACACCGGCCTGGGGGGACGTCGTCAGTGGAGGTGGGCTTGCAGCAGGGTTTGCACAAGTCTCTGTCTGCGGGGCTGGACTATTCCCCACCAAGCGCGCCCAGGTCCGTTCCGGTCTCCACCACTCTTCCCACGGTGTACTCGCCCGCCCTCTCCCAGTCTGGGACCCCCGTTTCCCCTGTGCAGTACACGCACCTGCAGCACACCTTCCAGTTCGTCGGGCCCCAGTACAGCGGATCGTACACCGGATTCATCCCTTCGCAGCTGATTTCCCCAACAGCCAATTCCGCGACCGGCGCCGTCCACGGCTGTTGCGACCACTCCATCCCAGCGCTCCCAGCTGGAGGCTTATTCCACCTTGCTGGCCAGCATGAGCGGCTTAAGCCAGCAAGGGCACAAAGTTGAGCCGCATCTGGTCAGGACGCCTGGACTGATCGCCGCTGGGTCTCCTCCACCCACCCAGCAGAACCAGTACGTCCACATTTCCAGCTCTTCCCAGAGCACCGTTAGAAACGTCTCTCCTCCAACCATCCCAGTCCCCCTGCACCCCCATCAGACAGTGATCCCGCACACCCTCACCCTCGGCCCTTCCTCCCAAGTGGTGGTGCAGTACACCGACTCGGGGGGCCACTTCGTCGCCAGGGATGCCCCTAAGAAGCCCGAGAGCAGCCGGTTGCAGGCGATGCAGGCCAAGGAGGTACTGAATGGCGAGATAGAGAAGAGCCGGAGGTACGGCATTTCGCCATCTGCCGACATAGGTCTAGTCAAAGCAGGCAATAAACCAGCTCCCCATCATTATGAGACCAGGCACGTGGTGGTCCACTCGAGCCCCGCCGAGTACGGTGCACGGGATTCCTCAGGTGTCCGAGCCTCCGTCATGGTGGTCCCCAACAGCAGCACGCCCACGGCCGACATGGAGGTGCAGCAGGCCACCAACCGCGAGACCTCTCCCTCAACCCTCAACGACAAGGGAAGCTTGCACTTAGGAAAGCCAGCCCACCGGTCCTACGCCTTGTCTCCGCAGCAGGCTCTGGGCCACGAGGGGGTGAAGGCAGTGGCCACGCTGTCCCCTCACACCGTCATTCAGACCACCCACAGCGCCTCGGAGCAACTCCCCGTCGGGCTGCCGGCGACGGCC